CAAACAGTTCATCATATGTCATTCAAGTTCGTTTGGTTACCCACTCGGTGTGTCGGGGCCCTAGGTAAAGAGTCCTGGGTACCTACTGGGTTCCCGGGTGTTTTTTTGTGAAAGGAGTATGGTCAAGGTATGTCTTGATGGTGTCAGAAGGGCAATTATACCGATTATACATTCACATTAAGGCTACTTTTTGGGGGGGTGGAATTTGCTCCTTTGAAACAAAGTAATTGCTCTGCATACGCGTACATGCTGGTTTGCGCATGACGACATGGTTATGTGCACATGAGCAAAAGCTGCTTTGTGTGTATCACACGCGGAAGTCTGCATGAACACATGCTGGCGAAACTGGCGTACCTTTGGAACGCCATCTAGCATATCTTGGAAACGCAGCCCTCCATCTGCGGATGTGATATTGCGTCTTGACGCGTATCGCTTTCTTGCGCGTCAAGTGTTCAAGGAGCAACTGGGGCGGCGAAACGGCGAAACTGGCATACCTTTGGAACGCCGCCCTCCATGTGTGGTTGTGTGTTATTGCGTCCTGAACGTGCATCGTTCTTGTTGCTCAGGCGTTCAAGGAGCAACAAAGGCGGCGACACTGGCATAGCCCTGGAAAAACATGTTCTCTCGGAGCGCACAAGGTGTGGACGGCTGCGGGTTTTCTGAGCACCCTCGGGTGCACCGGACCGAGCGTGCCGGGCGTCGGTGTGAAAACTCTGGAGCACTCAGCACGTTCAAGTGACAAACTGCAGGTGGTTGCGTTTGTTGGCGTCCAGGGGTGCTCTATGCCACTCGGAAAAGCAGTACTCATAATGTTTTGGACGGCTTTGGCCTTCCAACGGGCAGCCACCTTGGGTTTTTCAATGGCTGCGCGTTTATTTTTGCATTTCTCTTTGCGGAAGACTTTTTTGGAGAGGGACTTGCCAGCACAACAAACTGCACTAGGACCAAGCATTCTACCGACCATAAATGTTGGCATTCTATCTGGCATGCGTTCTGGCATCCTACCCGGAAAGATCCGGCGGTGCCCACTGCGATCGAGTGCTGAAAGTTGAGGTCCGCAAGTGCCCACTGCGATTTGGAGTTTGCAATTGTGGCGGGTTGTTTGAATCCAGTCCCCCTAATAAAAAAACGCCCCCCCCCCTAATAAGGACACCTTGGTCGCATTTTTTCTCATAGGGGGTCCCTGAAATCGGGGGGTCCAAAATAGGGTCACCTGGGAAGAGCTTCAAAACCAAACCTGAGAAGCTGCAAAACGAAAACCGGCGCTTTTGTGGGGCTGATTCGCAGTGCAAAGCCGGGAAGAAGCTATTTCCACTGTCTGTGAAGCCTGATGCGCGCCATACCTGGGAACAGAATTGTAGCTACAAGACCTTTATTTTCAAGGTGGCCTGAACAGAGTGTTTTAGGGCAGCAAACTGTGGTCTCAGGCCACCTTGAATTTAGCTTGAAAACCACAGCTACACAGCTACCCTGGGTGTCTATACCTGGCAAGGTGCCAACTACACCTTTATTTTCAAGGTGGCCTGAACAGAGTGTTTTAGGGCAGCAAGCCGTGGTCTCAGGCCACCTTGAATTTAGCTTGAAAACCACAGCTACATAGCTACCCTGGGTGTCTATACCTGGCAAGGTGCCAACTACACCTTTCCATTCAGATGATGCAAATGATGCATTTGGCATTTCTTGCATCACCACCCCTCAAAAATCACCTCCAACAAAACCTCAAAAAACCTTCCCTCGGAGCACCCTCCTCCCCCAGCATGTGCTGAGTTGACGTATACCTTTCTCGGGCCACCCCCCCAGACCCCCTAACTACTCACTTCGTTCGCCAGACACAACTCCGCTAGCGCCTTCTACGAAGGCTGGCTTTCGTAAAAGTAAATCAGTAAAATTTTATATAAAACCTTTATTAAGCTCGTATCAAAAATGCAAAAAAGCTCCAGATCGAAGGGTTTGTCCTTTTCCCCTACAAAATCCTTCATTTGAATAGTGATTCTTCAGTAGACTAACAGCATCTAACAGCTAAAGCTTTCGAAAGGTGATGTCGCTGTGCCATGCGGTGTTGCATGACCTCGGTGGCAAGTGCGTTTGCGTGAGTCCGTGCCATTGGGGGAAGGAAAGCCTGCTGGTGTTAAGCGCGGCGTGTCATGGTGGATAGGCAGGGCGGACAGAGGTGGGCAGTTACGGTTGTTTTGGAACCGAATAAAAAAACTACCCCCAAAATCGACCATGTTGGTCGTTTAGTAGCGGCTTGAAAGGGCGGTAATTTAAAAACAAATATAAACCGAATTTAGGGGGATCCGGCATGATTTTTTTTAAATAGGGGTCCGTTTTTTAATAGGTACTCGGGATTACTTTACCAATCCAAACCGTATACGTGGGGGAAAGCGGGGAAAGCCTCCAATCTTCAGCCAGGCCCAATTGTGGATGGCTCTGTTGCGGTTTTCCTCATGACCGCATTGGGCTACGCAACTTGTCAATGTGAGTGCAAGCCGAGAGGCCTCCCCCCACCACTCGAGATAAGCAGTAGTGATCGTGTTTGGTCAGGCAGTCCGACACATTCCAGTGCCTTCCACTTCACACCTGCCAATCACTAGAGTCACTAAAGTGGTCTTTGTCAACAAACAAAGCCTTTTCAGTACGCGCCTGCAGTCAAAACTCAACACCCACCGATCGGGTTCGCCGTCTTTGCCTGCATTTAAAGCACTGCTTACAGAAATCAACCCGCACTTTGCCACCTTTTCCAGCAGTCACAGGTTGACACATTGGCCACTTTGGACCGCGTCCGGCGCTGGCGCAGCGGCAAGGAAGCGCAGCGGCCAGGAAGCGCCGGCGCAGCGGTGCGGTGCAGTGGCACCGTCGCGACGTGGTACATTTTCTGAGCATCTCTACGCGGATTTTGGAGTCACCGTGCTGGACTTCCAAGGTCTGCCAAGGTCTCGCGGCGTAGAACACGTTTCACTGACTGAAATTCACGAATCGGCTTCAAGTCGTTCTGTTCACTCGCTGCATGAGAATTCTCGAATCTCCCAAGTCGTTGTCGCAGAAAAACTTCACGGCTCTGCGTCCCGCCGGTTGCTTCGGCATCAACTCCACTGGCTACTAGGCACAGATTATCTGACCTATCTGACCAATTCTTTGTTTTCCACGTTCTCCTTTTCAAATCGTCGGCACATGAAGTGTTTGTTCGAGCCATTGACTGATGTCTTCAAATCCAAGTTAGGACAAAACCCGCCGGGCACGATGCTAAGTCTGTCCACCACAAGTAACATAATTGGCCTGCTCAAAACAACGCAAAACTGCGAACGAGGGCCGCCAAAATATATGTGTGTTTAAAACGACCTTAATTGCGTATGCAAAAAGAAACCTGCCGATCAAAGATTCAGCCGTGTATCGTCCAAACCTCTGATCTAGGACCGCATCTCGTAGTGCATTTGCAAGGGACTTCGTCGTCGCGTGGGCACCGAGAGCATCAACTCCGCACGGTCATGCTCTGACCGTGCGGAGCATCGGTGCAGGCTTCGAATGTGAACATGGACGCTTCGGCAACCGCACGGCAACCGCACGGCGCATCGATCAGCCGTGGGTCGTCTGTTCGGATGTTCCATTCGTTGTGATGAAAGTGAGTGCACAAATTTCAGAGAGTGGCATCAGCTCTGCGTTAAAGTCAGATCTGTTCGCGAACGTATCTGTTTTAATATGTCCGTTCGATCGGGTTGGCTGCGGATTAGTTTACCCTTTCCTGCGACTGCTTGTCCATGGATTGGCATAGCTCGTACACTGAATTCCAGTTGGCCAGAAACCGGGTGATCCCTCCTTGGCGGGTCAGTCTAACCTCACTGTTCCACTCTTAGTTCACGTTCTTGGTTTCAAGTGCACTGACACAACTTCACTTGCACGCAGGCCGCGCTGGGCGGCGCTGGGCCACGGCAGAGCTAGGAGCTCACATAGACGGAAGATGGCATTAGCTTGGAGGCTCATCTCTTAGAACCTCGAAAACAATAAAGCTATTGTTATACGATTATACGTGTGTTGCATTGATGCAGGTTTTATTCCAGCACAAACCAGCTGCAGTGATCATAAGTCATAAGCATTTTGAATGATACATAGTCTGTGTAGCGTCAGCAAGGGCAATACACAAAAGGCGCTGTCAAACGGGTGGGCAATTGGTATTTTGAGATCTCTGGCCCTTTCAACGTTTTGACATGGGCGCTGATCATCGTTGAATCGTTTGTTGATGTCGCTCTCATTAACACCAAGGTCCTGGACAAGAAATGTGTATCGCTTGTATCGCTGTCTTTCTGGCGGCTTGGACAAATTTCCTTGCGCATGGTGGTCTGCAAAGTTGGATCTCTGTTGTTGTTCACATATGTGTGTCCTTTAATGGTGAATTGATCTATACATTTGTTTGTGACAGTTTACCACATCTTTCGAGGGTTCCTGACAATGGCATGTTCTGATCTTCTCTTACGCCTAAACATTGCTTGGGAATGAGAGTTCAATAGTCTCACAGTAGTATATATATATATTATATATGTCTATGATTGTCTGTCATTGATACCTTCTTGTCACAAACAGTTCAGCCGCATTTCGACACGCCAACGACACGCCAACGACTCCCTTCGGCGGCGGCAGTGGCGTTTCCGAACGGGGGGGGGGAAGAAGCCCAGGGCTTACGGCCACGGACAGCGGTGTAAGCAGCGAAACCACAAGCAAGACTTCTGATCTCAAGCAAGACTTCGGGTTCGTCGTGCGGGTCGGTCATAGGCCGTCCGAGACACGGTGTCGCCTCGCCCTCGTTTGGGACGGGGACTGCACACGACTCCCGGGGAGGTGGACAGGACGCGGGGGGGTCGCACGCTGGCGGGAGGCGGTGGGTCGATCAGCGGCGCCGCTTTTTTTTCTCGCCAATGCATGGCACGCCTGGGGCGATCCGGGATCTTCACGTACCCTGAGATGAAAATGACCCAAGAGTCGGATTTTTCGTGATGTTTCTTCGTTGGGTCCAAGTCATTCATTGAGCATCTCAGAGTATGTCTAGGACGATGCACTTAGCATCACTTGGCCGAGGTCAGCTAATCTTTGGCTGATGCGGTTTGTCTGGATCTCTCACCCAAAGGCCAGGCACCTTGGCAGATTGGAGAGAGGATGTTCATGGAGTTTCTATGCACCGCAGCCCGCCGCAGCAAGCTAATGACATGCTCTGCAAGTCGTGTGCTTCAGCAAGGAAAGAGGAGCCCGGCTGGACTTGCAAGCCAATCTCTGTGAAGCATGACCCGTAGAACAATGGGTTTTCGGACCCCCACAAACAGGGGTTAGCTCTGGCACAGTTTAGGATCTCTGCAGAAGGCATTGAGTGGTATAGCCTACCAAAAACGCGCCAAGAGATATAGGAATAACCATGAGCAAAAAACATAAGGACACTCACATCCCGGGGGGGTTACGATGTGAAAACGGCCAGCCCAACCGCATCGTCCACCCAAACGGCCATCCCTCTTCTCCCCGCGTTCCTCACATCTGCTCACTAGTTGGGGAAGACCGGGTTGCTGGGTTCCCAGGCTCCAGCACCACCAGGCCTGGCCCGATCGGACTGAGACGGCGATCCGAAACGCGTGGATTCCTGGAAGGGAATAGATGGTGTTTTTCGGGGTTGAACCAATCTGAAAGGTCTGTTTGCCGAAGTCCAGTGGTCTGCAACGATTGAAGAGTCATGAAAGAAAGACATCTCTCACTTCTTTTTGCAACAAAGAAACCGGGAAATCTTGTTCAAGGCCACCAGAGTTGAACAGAAACCACGACAAACCCCGGTTGACCGTGTGAGAGGTGAGGGCATCGCAGTCCTGCCCCATCAACTGGTATAGAAACAACTAACCTCCCAGATCACAGATCCTCAGGTTCTGACAACTGCTGGTGACTGTGTGCGGCGTTCTACATTTGTCAAGTTCCCCTTCACTTCACCTCTTGTTTGAGTTGATCTCTGTGTCACAAGTCTCTAAGCACACATGGTTGTGCGAAAGAGCTCGGAAAAAAAAAAATGTAGCATGAATCCTCTTCCCTGTCTCATGAGTAATTAGTGTGCGAAGAAGTAATCAATTAATACAATTCTGCAAAAAGAAAGATTTGAGATGATTTGAGCAACACAAAACACAGCGTTTTTGGCAAACCTAAAGCTTCGACTAGTTTTACCCCACGACGTACTCACTGACTCTGTCCACCACTCAAATCCATGCACTAAGTACAAGAAAACCAGGTGAACCCTGCGGGATGTTTGAGGTGCGTCCCGCTTCATCGAAAATCCCAGAAGACTGGCTCTTTTTTTGCGACCCCATCCCTTACAGTAGACGTTGCACCATCTACAAACACCATCATCACAAGGAACTGGAGCTGGTTGATTGGTTGAGATGATTGAAACATCGATGAACATCGATGAACTCTTTGATCATGCAACGCTTAAACCATCCTAAAGCAAACAAATCCAAGGCCGAGCAAACAAAACAAACAAAAATTCCAAACAAAACATCCAAAACGTCGATCTCCGAGGAGGAGCTGTCAGGCTTCGACTCCAGACCCGCTTTCGACTCCGCCGATCTCCGCCTGGCGCCCTCGACGGTGGGCCCGTTCGGACGCTGGCCCACCTGACTGCCCAAGAAAGGCAATGGAAAAGGATCCTGGTGTCCGTTCTGGGGAAGGGATCCTTACCCTCATGGACATTTTGGGAAGGTCAGTCCATTGTAGGTGGAACTGTTCAACTGTCGAACTGTCGTAGTAGGTGTGTGTCGGGCGACGTACGCTGGGGGGGATGTCTCAGCAAATCCAGCGGGGTATTCAACCAAGCGTCATAATATGAAGTGGTTGTATATAAACAATAGGGAGACCTCCCAGTCCCAGTTCGAACCCCGGAAGGAGGGAAATAGTTGCCTCCCCATGAAAATACACGATCACCCAATAAGTAGACATCAAACGACTCAAACGACAGGGCGACTACGCCACAAGCGACTCGTACAACGCCGACCGCCGACTGCACCACCGCTCCACGGGAGAGTCGTTCACCTCCTACTCAGCGGCCCAGCGGACCTGTCTTCGAACTGAAAACCCAGCACCAACAAGAAGTCATAATGTCTTTTTCCTGTAAAAAGCGGTGTTTTGTTCTCCTGGGCTGCCCATATAGCTCCATAGTTTCAAAACCTGTCATCTCGAGACAACCCACACGCCAACAAAGATGATTGTACATATTGACATGAGATGAGATTGGTGATGAGGGATGACCAGTGATGACCCAGTAAAATCCTTTTGGAGAACCGATTCCCTGGAGGAACACCACAGCTCAGCCCGCCACCGCGAGCGCCACCGGTGTGGCGACCGCTGCACCCGCAGGGCTGGGGCTCTCCTCAGGGTTGTCAAGGGCCGTCAAAGGACCGTCGGGCGAAACGAAGTTGACGCAGAAGTAGTGGGTGCGAAAAGCGAAAGACCACTACAAGCACTGTGGGGATTAGGTGTCTGAAACCTCTGAAGGGTGTGGCAAAATGGATCCGTAGAGGTCTACCCAGGAGTCTATCCATGTTTGGCCTAAACTGTCCAAACTTCACCTTTGAAGGGTTCAGTGCCTGCCGGGAAGGCGTTGCACCCCATCCCCCCATCCCTCCCCACCCCTCCGCCGGTCGCCTCTGCGCTAGTTCCTTGCACTGCCTCTTGTAGCATACCTCCAGGGCGTGAAGATCATCCGAAGAGTTCAACGGATCCCGAAGTTCCATATGAGTCATATGACGAACATGAGTTTCATATGAGCCATAATATGACGAAGATGATGACTCATGTGCACCTGATGTGAGTCACGCAAACAAACCAAAGCCACTTAGCGGCCTTGCCTTCCATGCGGGAGGCACAGGAGGCGAAGGACTCCACCAACTGTTCACAGGACCTCTAAAGCAGACAAGGCGCGCGAAAGCAGTTTCAGTGTGTTTGATCAATTGGGAGGACAGCATGAGCAGCAGTCTTTTGGTCATCCACTAAGTCTGATGTTGATGTAGAGCAAAAAGTAATGAAGTGTGAAGATTGCTTTGGAGAATCAGAACAACTGGTGGTGCTCAACTCTGAGCAGGTTGAACACCCCACTGCGGAGGGTTCCAATGAACCATCGAGCGACCCAAAAGGCAACCACTCAACCACTCACAACACCTGACACCTCAACTGATTAAACCCCCCCAAAAGACACGCAATAACCTTCGACCTTCCGACAAGAAACCTCCCACCACTCACTCCCAGTTCGCTGCTAAGGATCCCGACTGCAAACGCCCATGCAACTGTCGTGAAGGCATCTGACTCAAATCCTGCCGTGCGCTTTCAGCTATTCAATCCATGCACTTCGCCTTGGGCTCTTCCACCTTTGCCACCTTCACGACTGTGGCAGGCCCACATGAACCCCACATCAATGACATTCCACAAAGCGGAAGGTTTGTACACCGACTTATTTCTTCAAATGAAGGCTTGTGCTAGTAACAGTCTACAATTGGTAGACTGTTAGAAAATTCCAAGACATCACCTGTGACACGTTTTGAGACGTTTTGACACGGTGCATTTCTGTGATGTCCAGAGCCATCCGCCAAAGGCACAAAATCTGAAATCAAATGTTTCCCCAAGTGCAACCTGTTGGAGGGTGCTGGTGGGGTTGTTTTTATACTTGAACATCTCACATACAATTTGCATGTTCCCATGATCCAAACACACGCTGCCCAGTGACATCCGACACATCGGACGGTCAACACCACCGGCGCTCCGTGTCGGCCAGCATCATCTTCTCGCGATGCCTCAGAGATCCCTCGACCCACGAGGCCTTCGACAAGGGGAACGAGCCTTGGAGGCCTTCGGCTCGCGTTTTTGGTTGAACGAAAATCGAGCGGTTTTGTACGACCATTATTAGGATCACCGAAAAATGCTGATCACAAGATATCCGAACATATGCAATGTATAGTCTAGTGTTTGGGAAGGTGTGTCGGTTTGGAGGGTCCAACCACCTTTTTTCCATCCAACCCGTGTTGGAGATGCGAACACGATGAATTCATCACCTAAAACTTGGTGCCCTTTTTCCCCACCCGTCGGCAGTGTCCGAAAGAATCCCTCCATGATATCACCTCTTCCCCGCCGCACGTGCGACGGGTGTCTCCTTGCGGTCCGCCTCCACGAATTCCGTCGCATTCCAATGTAGCCCAGGAGCTCCACGAACCAACGATCCAACTGCGCGGCAATGTAGCCCGCTTGCCCCAACTTCGCCTAGCTGGTCATCGCCCCACAAGGACCACGTCCAACTCTGCGGTGTCCCAACGGTCGCGCCGGTGTCCCCAAAACGCTAAAACCGCTGCGTCTCCTTCCTTCCGACTGACCAGGCACCCGCCGGTCGGCACGGTGGAGGGTTGTGATGGTTGGCCTGACACTGACTTGGATGTGACCTCATCTGGAGACTATATAAATGAGGTTGTTCAACCGCGGATTGCAGCACTGTGTCCAGTTGTGTCAAAATTGTAGTGATTGGTAGTGGCTTTCCACGATCTCGACCAGAAACAAGCTGCATCCAACAGGTCTCCAACGAAAGCCAAGCAAAGTAAGAAAGGGAAAACCTGTCGTGGGGTGCTGGTAGTAAGGTCCTGATTGCCGTTCAACCTCGAAGACCACCCTCTGAGTTCAGGGTTTCTGCCTTGAATGAATTGACCCCAGGTTGGAGCTTTAGGTGAGCTTGGGGAGTCCATTTGAGTCCACAATCCAAATCAACACGTGGGCGTGTTATTGAAACAGGGTGACCCTCCAACCGATGGATTTTGTGTCGCTTCTTTCGTCTTTCTTTGTTGCAACATCCACCATTCTTCATCCACCAACCGTGTCTGAGCCAAGCCACCCAAGCAACTCCTGAGCTCACCCAAAATAGCTCATTCGGCTTCTTTTCGGGAGAAGAACTTGCGTATGGATTGAAAAAACAACAACAAACCTTCCCCCGTTAAACGATGATTGAAAAAAAAAAGAACCCATACCTGGCATGGAAAACCCATCCAAACATCTCCCATCCCCTGCGGCCGGAAAGACGCATCCGGATCCGGATCCGGTCTGGCCTTGACCATGCGCAGCTCCGGCACGAAGGCGCCCACCAGGTGCTGCGCCTCCAAAGATGGGACGGTTCACCACGGTACACCTGGTGCGCCAGGTAGAAGATGGTAGAAAAAGATCAAAATGCGTGGCATGTTGTGCCTCTTTTGTTGGGAACTGAACCCTAAGATGGTCCCTGAGTGCCACCCAGGGGTTAGAATCCTCCTGCCTGGGATTATGTAGCTGCCCAGTCAATACCATGTCAATATAGTGCTTATGTAAGCCGAGCATGGAAGATTCATGTTAACATCCACGTAGTATATCAATGCAAAACGCCTCACCTCTTGAAAAAGCCTTCATCGGTGCGCGTAGCCACTTGGGACATGCCATGCAAACGGACTGCAAGGCATTGCAAGATTAATCTGTGATCCTATAATAATAATATAGATATAGGGTCAATCTTTAATCTTTGAGGATAGTCCACTGGCAGATGTTTCACTATGTCTCGCCCACCGTTCGTGTGGCAAATGTTCCCCCAACTTCAAACGTCACGTTTTCCAGATGCTGCATGCTCGGTCTAAGCCGAAAACCCATGCAGAACTCACAGGAAGCCTAGCCTAGCCACTGGCTAGGCTAGGAGCTGACACGGGACCATTTGCAGACAAAAAACACACCATTCTGTGCAGCCAGAATCAGGTCACGGAGCGCATGTTTCTACAGCCTGCTGCACGGGTGCGCCGGTCTGCGGCTGCCGAAGGAAGGCCAATTCCGCTTGGGTCGCTTCCACCTGGACCCGGCGCGGTCTGCTAGGGAGACGCCGCTTGTACCGCATGATGGCAGTTGTGACTTGTGTAGAATCTTGAAAATCCCACGCATCTGGAGTGCAAAAGCTCCCGTTGATGACCATGGAATTTCCTGCAGGAGGCTTTGAATTCAGAAAAAGAGTTGACATGAACTTGGGATGTGTTTATGCCCAGGAACAAGGTCTCATTGAACCCAAAAACCCGAACCGAACCAATCGAACCAGGTCTGGGTCGAAGGCTCGGCACCTCCCTGCTGAGCGCCAGCAGGTGTGCTGCGCGCCGCCGGCCCTCGGCCTGTGAACCCGCTCAGGCCGAGTGAGTTGGGGGTGTTGAAGGTTGGGGGTTCAATAAGCTACTAGGAACAAGTGCATCGCTTCTAGTAACAAGTGCTTACTAGTAGTAATCAAATTAATAGCTTCTTGTTACTACTAGTAAGGCACTTGTTGCTAGTAGCGATGCACTTGTTACTAGTAGAGGTTGGGGGTTATCAAACTGAAGAAATCACCTGATGGGAGTCAGAGACCATGACCATCAGCAATGAGAATGTTTTTGACGATGATTTTGGGAAATTCCTGTACTTCACCAAGGATAAGCACGAACCAAAAAAACAATATATATATATACACAGAGTATACTTATATGTAGTCTTTGAACTTTTAGGGCTCCGTCATTGCCTCAAACAGCTTCAGTCCATGAGACTGGCTGGATGGAATCTTCACCCGAACAAGTTGCTTGGCGTCATCAAGCCTGGAGAATAGCCATTGGAACTCATCGCAAGTAGAGGTTGAACTGACCAAGTAGATTCTAATTATATATACTTATTGAAACCAACCCAGTGGATGCTGTCCCACCAAAAGCCTCCCTTTCTCCTCTCCTGAATCAGGATACGCTCGTCCGGCGCGTTACGCTGGGCAGGTTTCGTCGGTCCCTGCGCATGCTCCCTTTCTGGGTGGTGCCCGCTGACTAACTGTTGACTAACTGTTAATTGATAAAACCTCCCAAGCCTGTGGATGTAAACTGAAAAAACAGTTCTGGTAGGGGTCAATGAAGAGGGAATGAATATGATTGAAATATGTTGGAAATATAATCCATCTATACAATACTGTAGTCTCTACATTCGATCAATTAATGATCGAGGTTGCTTTAGCAGAACGTCCCAAATCATTGTGATGCCACAACACAGAAACAGCTGGATCAAACAGAGCTGCTTCCTTTTAGCCTTCACCCCGACCCCAATTCCCCTTTGCAACCAGAAATGGCACCACCTTTTTCCATCCATGAGTCGGGAAACAAACGTGCGTTTTCCAACCAAAAATACTTCGGTCAGTAAGCTGTCAGATCTTTCAGCCGCTTCCACTTCCACCTCCGCTTCCGCGGCCGTGAGGCTCGTCTGGCTCGTCCGACCCTGGGGACGGTTTGGCCGGCGGCGACGGAGGTACGGCCGGTCTTGGACACAGGTCTTTTTCTCCAGGCACATCCAATCTGTACTACGTTCGTACCCGATCAATACAGAAAACACGGTTTGTATGTAAATGCATATAAATGCATTAAAGTGAATAAAGACGTTTCCTCTTTAAGGCCTTTCCGTGAAATTATGTTGCAATGCCCACTTAACTTCATTTTACATCATTTTACATATGTGTCCAAAAACTGTGCCGATCCGTCTGAGCAAACTGAGTGTAAACACTCCCTCCGCACCTCAACCCCTTACCCCGCCGCCTGCAGGTTTGGCAAGAACGCCTGCAGGGCTGACCACGGACACTTGCGAACGCTTATGCTACTTTGCCGCCGGCACAAATAGACGCAGATCGGGATCGGAACATCCGCGATGGGCTTTTCCAAAGTTCTTCTGTGAGTGGGTTCCCTTTTTTGCAAAGCTTATGAATCATGACTCGATGACTTTGATTGGTTGGTGATTCGCCGCTCCACTGGATCGAGCAGAACGCGAGCATGTTGCATTCGCTCTTTGCAGCTCGCGATCGAAGAGTCTGACCACGAAAAGTCTAGCTTTGTTTCCTTGGGTAAAAATGGCGAAAACACCATGCGGAACAACTCAGCTCATGCTCCCCCTCCCATCCACCCGAGCATCGGACC